TTGCGGAACAATAGGAACATTTTTGGATCAGATCTCTCTTACAAATACTAGAGGTGCTGGAAAAGGGGGAGCCGGAAGCTTCTCGGGCTCGGTAAATGAAGCTAACAGGCGACCATTGAAGATTTTTCGTGAACGCTTTGCTCCTAATGGTAAGTGCGGCTCTCACAATAAAGAAGAACATGCGAACAAAATGTTCGCAAATACGACCCCTTCCACCAAATCACTTATCGTATTTTTATGATCTTCCTATGCTTACACAGCCCAAGAACGAGACTGCCAGTTCCCTATTTTCTCAACAAAAACTTCTTGCGGGTTCAACCTTAGCTGGAAAATTGCGACAATAGATGTTTTCCGATTTTCCGCTGTTTCTTCAAATGGATAATAATCGTAAATTCTGAACACTATATGATTGGCTTTCACTCACCACTGATTACTGATTAGGACCATGATTTTCGCAAAAATTCAAATTCACACAGCGAAAACTCACAGTCGCACAGATCTGAATAGGTATTTACCTGGAGCCGGTACCATAAGCCTAGGGCTTTAGGCAAAGCGTACCACCTTTTATTCAACGTAATGACATAAAGGAAAATGAGACATTAGGCGATCACCGCATTAATTAAAGCAATGTGTATTTACAGATAATTACAACCAAATCGGAACGGAGATGCAAACAATCAAAATCCTTCCAAAATACATTGCTCACACCACGCGGATGTATCCGATTAGACCACGGCGCGGCGACGCGCACACTGCTGCGCTCGGTCACGTTCGAGTGCGGCGTCAATGTGCGGCATGTGCGTTGCCGCGACATGACTAAACGGCACATTCCCTTTATTATAAACTAGAGAAGCTAATTAGACATAGGCTATCACCAGCCTCTTTCATAATATTCTGCTTATCACGAATAAGTGAACTAGCCGGCATGAGCACGTTGTGAAGCTACTCAACACTCAACGAAGATGAATAGAAAAGGATCAAACGAAGCGTCGAGGAAAATCTTCAATTACGAATCATCCCCTTCATTAACGATAGTCGCTTTGTACAACTCACAACTGACCAGGAACGGATGGTCGGTCGAAGTGGCCAGTAAAGAGACCTACACCGGTGGATGGGTTTTTGGACGCTGATCTCAAATCTGCTTTCCAAATCTGCCAAACGATTTTCTAATGGAGTTATGAAGGAAAGTAGTGCAGCGATAGTAGTCCGGGTTCATGTGCGAGACAACGTAGGATCGATTCCCGCGGGTTCTATTTTTTGCCTTCGCCGCAAAATGGCTGAAAAAGCTTCCAAATACCTCACTAGATCAATGCTTGCCTGTAGTTACACGTGCAAAGATTGCGAGCAGTTTCTAATCAGTTTGGGTGGTACTTACTAAAGACTGCACATGGAGCCCACAGAACAATTGGCACACTTTTTTACAGAGACCAAGTGTGATATTCGTGTTCCGGAGATATACCATTTCCACTTGAAAATGGACATCGTTCAAATCAAAGTTGCTGTTTTTCAAAAAATCGTGGACATTTTTCAATTCGACCCGGAGATTTTTCAAATAGCTCAGGATGTTTTTCATTTCGACCCGGCTTCTTTTCAATGAACCGTGGACAGTTTTCAATTCAACTTGAATCTTTTTCAAATGACCGTAGACATCCTTCATTTCAAGATGGAATTTTTCATTTCAAGCCAGACACCGCTCAAATGAAGCTAACCACATTCATTTTCGGTCGGGTAATTCTTTTCAACATCAAAACACAATTCGTAAAAAAAACATAATATCCGGGAAATCTTCTTGGTCAAGAAAATACTACATTTCTGGCTGGAACAAATGGTCATTTCTCTACAATCGAACACAAGGGGAACAAAATCAACAAGTTTAACACCTGTGGAGCCCACGCCAGCCCATATGTGGGCTGCACCCTTCGACCGCATAGGACCTTTTCAGCTCGCATTGCGGAAACAATTATTAGGTTTTCATTCATTTTCTTTTCCATTTATGCGATAGATTTCTTCTGCATTACACAGTGGGTTCTTCTTTCAAATTTGCTAGATGAGATCCCTAAAATCTCACCGAAGTCCCTCGCGGCCGCGGAACGTAAAACACGTGGTCTCCAAGTGTTTAATTAACGAAGGGCTGTCCAGCTGCCGCGGTCGTCAAATTTTGCATCATGTGGAGGACGTAACTCGCCAATCCTGCTCCGTCACCGTTCCTACACTTTCCTGAATGATCCGCTCAGCCATCCACTGATCACATTTGGCGCTTTCATTCACCATTGTATGCGTATTGATCCTTGAAACATTGCAAGAACAAGGTCGCATAAGGGAAGGAGATTCAAATACTCGGGACGACCCTAGAAAAGCTTCGATGAAGAAAGAGGATCGCGGAAACAAACGGTATGGGCAGATTAGAGCATCCAATTGAGAGATTTTCAGTTTTTGTTCCAGAGTGGAACATCTCAGCACATCCGTCAATTTTCAGTCAAATTCAGTGAAAAATGTTATTTGACATTCTTAGGAAAATGTGTCCAGTATGATCTGAAACATTCACCAATGTTTTGAAAAGTGTCCAAATGAATGAAAATAAGCCGGGTCGAAATGAAAATGTCCACGGTCCAGTGAAAAAAGCCGGGTCGAAATGAAAAATGTCCACGGTCCAGTGAAAAAAAGCCGGGTCGAAATGAAAAATGTCCACGGTCCAGTGAAAAAAAGCCGGGTCGAAATGAAAAATGTCCACAGGTCATTGAAAAAAAGCCGGGTCGAAATGAAAAAAGTCCTGAGTCAATTGAATAAGGTCCACTTTGGAGTGGAAATGGTATATACCCCTAGGTACAAGTTTTTAGCCAAATTTGAAATTTCGACCAAATTTCGAAATAAGCTGGGTGGGTATTTATCCATCCATTCATCGATCAGCCTATCATCCAAGCCTAGATAGCCTTGAGACGATAAAATAATTTTTTGGTTTCTGAAGAGTGTAAAGCAGTGTCTGGTTTTCTATTTGTGTGATTTCAACACCTACATTTTATTATTTTCAAATTTAAAGGGTAGCCGTCGTCCAAAATAGGTCAACCCTGGAACTACCGCTATGGGTATGCAGCATCAATGAGTGACTCGCCCACTTTTTTTTGCAGTTAATTCAAAATCTAGAATTTTTCGAAATTGGCCCCAGGAGTTATTTAACTACTTGAACACAAATATCACATTCGTTCACTCAAAAACGGTTGGAGGGTGCGCTACGTATACAGGCGCGCCTTAACCTTATCTAGCTAGTGACGTGCAAGTTAGGAAAAATTTCGAAGTTATCGACCTAAAACTCATCCAAAAGCAAGTAGGGCCGACCAGTGATGAAGGAATCATGTTTCACTACTGCCAAGTAGTCAGTCACAAAAATAAGGAAAAACACGCGTCGTATCCGAACCACTAACCCCGAAATCCCAAGCCCATCGCTTTTACCACTAGGCCACCAGCACCTCTGCTTGAAGACGGTCACTGCTTCTTTCACAAGCCGCTGCTGCTGAGGCCGATTAATCTGTTAAACTGTGTGAGGGAACAAAAAACTTCCGTAACTCCGTTCAGCGAATCGTTTGGCAGATTTGGGAAGAAGATTCGAGATCAGCATCCGAAACCACATACCGTGATAGTATTTGTCTCATTTCACATGACTACTTCGACCCCTCATCCTTCCCTAGTGAGCATAAACGGCGCATGAACAAACTGGTGGCTGTTGCTACACGTCGGTATTGGGGCGCGTTATACGCCGGAGCACAAAATTAAATCGAACTCGTGGCCATTTTTGAACGGTGATTTTTTATTTCCTAGAAAGGAATGAGTTCCAAATCTAAAAGAAGATTTGGAAGTGCTTGAAGTGTTTTGTGAAGTACTGAACTTAAGCAGTAGAGAGAAAAATTAACCCTAACGGCAAAATTAGTGCATAAAATTCGGGGATATGCGAGTTTTCACACCTTAGAAAGCCACTACCTCCTTAAAAGGAATCCTACAACAAAAACCAATGGGACGCTATAAAGAAGAACATTTGTCCCTTCAAGTGTTCATTAAAATATTGCGGACCCCCCTTATACGAGTATCTCCGCACCTTTTTATGTTTATTGAAAATGAATTATATTAGTCTACCAAAATATCAGTGATGATACCTATTCCCGGTTTTGAAAATAAGTGCAAACACATTATGAGCATTGAAAAATGCCGAACAAGTCAGATAAAACTATAATCTTCTGTTGAAATCGTGCGCCACATGGTGGTGCACGCGGTAGGCAATGTGTCGAAAGGTACGAACAAAACTGGTACATACATAAGAAATGAGTAATGCTAGATCTCCTAACTTATGAGTCATATTTTTTTGAGGGGTGTCCTATCGAAAATAAAGTGGGTCCCATGAATTCATCGAAGAATTCCCCCTTGAATAGTTACTGAAAGCACTTGGTAGAGTCAGCATATCGAAAATGGCCCCGTTGGTGACTTTGGCTGAGTCCCGCGTAGAGGCCTATCCTGCTTTGGTGGCACCCTTTCCAAGGCCATGGTTTTCTTTCTAGACAGGATGTGCAAACAAATATTGAAACAGATTTGGTCCACATGAATTCTGCTTTTTCAAATAGCCTAGACACGTACTGCAAGGTTACAAATCATTAGGGTTCATACTCATGTATTCCTCATGCCGTATAACATGACCCTTCCCTCTGCGCACAGCACTGGTCAAACACATGGATGCGCCACGCGCTCGACATCTAGCGATATCCAGCGCGAGTCGGGAATCATCCCCATGCGAACTAACTATCGATGCTCCGTTAACCGCTGGTTCCGTCACCTACAGCCCCCCTTCTTCCTACCCGACCAACTATGAGCCCCTCCCCCTCTCGTGTCCAGGATTCTCGACGCACGCTTGATTCTTGAACGAATGAGTGGTGAAAAATGGAACGAGCGATGTAATCAAAGGCGTTAATCTTACGGGACCGGATTCGAAGCATCGTTACGGGACATGGATGAAGTTATCACTCCTCATTATCAATACCAAGATTCTGAAATGTTGAAGCTTAGTGAAGCTATAGGGGCCTCAATGAAACCTCTCACCTCTTCACCCTCTCTTCCGGACGCACTGTAGATTTGAACTCGCTTCTTCGAATAGAATTGAAAGGCAGCATTTGCGCCAATGATAACCAGTATGATACCCTGGAAACGAATAATTTCTAATGTTAGTCTGTACTCCTTCAAAGTTGTACAGAGTGAAAGGACCAGTACCTCTATTAAGGCCACAACAAATCCGGTAGAGATCCCTCCAGGACATGGAGATGTGTTATCTGGTGGAAATTGTATGTATGTCATAGTTGCGTTCAAATCTGATGGTGAGTTCTCTGAAAGCAAAGCAATTGTACAGAAATATGAAATCGAATATTACATACAACACCCATTATCAAGTTTGGATGGGATGATACATGGCACTTTTTTAGTTTTTTTTCGTGTTTCTCACAACAAGGACGACAACCAGGGTGGAGCTCAGTCTTTTGCGAGCACAAAGCACCAAATGATCGATCATGCTTTTCACCTTGTTGTAACACGTTGACGACAGCGTAACGCGGTAACGCGTCCAACTTTGCGCATCTCGTGGGACATTGTGACGCGGTAACGCGTACGCAAATCATCCCTTCTTCTTGCGCTTGTGCGATTTATTCCTAAGGTCCTTGTACTCATTCTATAGGTCATACTCAAAAACCACATGGCTCACAGGAAGGCCAAATATTTTTTGGTTTGGCAGACGTTTTCCAGACCTCACTGATATGTCTGTTCAAATCATTCCTAGTTTTCTTTTCAGTAACGTAGACATGTTGATAAAAAGGAATAATAGAAGCGAACACAAGCCTATTTGCATGGGTAGATATGTGTTTTTACTGAAACAATCACGTTTAAATTAATTTTGGAACCCCTAAAGGGAAGTTAAGTAAAATTTCCCTTTTCATGACCTTAACTCGTCATTTCGGTCAAACATGCATTACTGTTGCTCATATAAGTTAGACAGATCGAGCATCATTGAAAACACCTCATGGCGTCTTAGTATTGCATATCTACAGCTCGAAATCCATGGATTTGGCGTGCGGCGGCGGCACTCGCAAAATCGCTCGTGTCCCACGCGGTGCAAAAGCACAAAACGCGCGATGTCGTCAACGTGTTAAGCGCACGATAACAGCGCGGTAGCATAATTCTTCGGCAGGTCAGCGCGGCCTTCTCCCTTTCAGATCTGTATTCCAAATGTCAGTCTTCGGTTTCACAGTTTAAGCTCCACCACTAGATATAAGTCCTGGTGCCAGTGTAGATGGGGGAGGGGTCGGATAACCCGGCCGTGCGGCTTGTCTACGCCCCAGGGTGATGTTACATTGAGAAGCGAGAAGTCATTAAGTCATGGAGAATGAAGAAACATCAGAAGACGGGAGTAGGGTGTGTTGCTCGAAGTGAAGGAAATGCTGCAACGCAAGAGTTTTCACTATGTCGCCCTTAGGGAGCAGAAAAACGGCGCGGCGGCTACTGCCCCTCTTCGGGTACACAGCACATTGGTCCAGTTACTGCGCTAACGCAAATAGTCGTTAGGATGAGGAAGACTTTTTCACAGAAAAACTCATTATCCAGCGGGTAACTACTTATTGCCTTCACTATGTGAGTTATTATGCTGTTGATAAAAAACGTTTTTCATCTTAAGATTTAGAAAGAGACAGCTGACGACGTTGATCGTTTCCTTTTGGTGTGCGCAACGCCTTCAACTTCTTCTAAATATTGTAGCTATTGAATGGAGTATGGCTTACGCAATGATTTGCGGTGGCTAGAAGACGCATAAGTCATTTTTCTAGCGTCCCAGACAAGTTTGATCTCAAGTAAATTACCAACGATGGTTAGAATATTGAAGGCAAAGTTCGGGCTCAGATCCAGCTACGAAGCCCTTACCATGGCTAGAAGTGCTGAGTGGACAAGTGCAAAGTAGCGCCACCCTTCTACATCGTAACGCGTCAGTGGCACCCTAGGCGCCATGGACTTCTAACAGACTCCACAAAACTTAACATGGTCCGCCCACCGTTCGATATCTTGTCTGCGTCGCCGCGTTGATGTGCTACGCTCTCTCTTCTCGGACTTGTCCGGCACTCTCCGCGCTCACATTATCTCTCATCTCCCTGTCTGTCTTTCGAATTCCTGTTTTCTCACTAGCGGCACCTCCGTCCATGCTTTCACATTTGAGTGGAATTCACCATCAATTTATTCATTCTGCCTTTGGTTGACCGTGGGCGAGATATGATCTGGGTCCCAGCACCTGAACATGTTCGTGCTACCGCACGCAACTTGCGCAACATCATTTTCTCCCGTTTAGATGACTCACACTTGATAAAGTTGTAAACCTACCATGGACCATGCATTTGTAGCCGTAGAAGTCAAATGTCGATTCACTCGTTTCCAAATCAAAAGTTGCTGAGCATACCTCATTCATGGTAAGTGGATTTCAAATGCATTTCCTTTCTCTTCTAACTTTGATTAAAGGACTTCTGAAATATAATCGCTGCTACGATCACTTTCTTTCCAAAGTACTTCATGAAGGCAAATATTCGAATAATTAAATAAATAATTAATAAACAAATATAAATATTACTCAAATTTGGTATATTTATGGTATTTGCTAAACAAGATAATGAAAGGAAACAAAGTAGCTGTAAAGAACCCATTAAATTAAATTGTGGGAGGGGTTTTGCGCTCACCTGCTTCTCTGATATCGTTAAACCCGTAAAATATGATAACGTGGGATCAACAAATGAGGTTGTCGCAGAGTCAGAGCGCAAACTCCACCCACATCAACACGCGATATGAGTCAAAAGGTTTTTGATAGCAGTCATTTTTTACGGTTTCTTTCATCACTATTGGACCAACCAGTACCACTATTCAAATATTTCGACATTTGGACTCAACAACCTACAGCTATCCAACCACGGAATGTGCCATTAAAAGAAAAGCGAGCACAATTGGTTTTCAAAGGGCAAAGAAAGAATCAGTTCGCTACCGCAGTCATTATCCACATGCCTGGTTCGAGAGGAAACCTGACCAGCGTCCCACCAATACAATGCCAGTCTTCCAAGAGGCTTTTGTTCAACTGAAAGAACAGCTAAAATTCCAATGGATGATGAGGCTTTTATTCAAAAAGACTTGGCACTATTCCACTATTACTGCCTCAAAATCTCAACATTTTATTTTTCGTCGAAACTTTGCTTATAAGGGTGATTCGATGCCCTGATCACGAGTATGACATTAATTTTTGGTGCTGGCGCCATTTGGCGCCTGTTGACGCCACTTTATCACGACGGCTGTTTTCGCGAAATTTGGTGTGAACTTGTACATAGAGGTTATTTGGTGTCTTGTTACGAATATGACATTTATCTTGAGGCTTGCGCCATTTCGTCTCGTCTGCGCGCCTCGCACGGAAGTTGGTCACTATCAGGACTAACCAGGAAGTCTTATCAGGAACATGGAGGTCACCTTTTGAAACGTCTGCAAAAAGGGCACATCACTGAGACAAAAACTATGCTCACTTATTATCTGGAGCGGCCCTCCTCAATGCCCCAAAAAGGGATAAATCGGTTCCGAGAGATTCGTTCCCGGCCGAATGACAAAATCTTATGCTATCTTTTCATTAAGGCGCAATGTATTAACCTCCATATGTTGACCTGTTGTTATGTCTCTGATTAAAATTTAGGTGATGCGGCTCTATGCGTCTTACAGGCAGGCGTGCATCAATCAACATCTTGCGCTTGAATTAATTTTCGCCCAGAATTGGGTCGAAAAATAATGGTACGTCTAAAATTTGAGTGCGTGCTCCTAGATCGTGGATTCTGGAGTTGTCTGAAAATAGTCGGCAATACGGTCGAGCGTTCCTATTCCGTCAAAAAATTGTACGTTAGATTTCGTTAAATCACGCGGCCTTATATACGTGTCCTTTCTATGAAGCCGCTAATGTATAGTGAAGACGCCTTTGGTGGATCCAGATTTTCGAATCCCGGACGAATTCATAGAACATGATGGTACAATGATAATGGCCAATTAATTCAGTGAAGATTTTTATTATGCTTATATCGTGGGGCTATCTTATCGCAGGCGGCCCAACTGATGACAGTTCTCTAAGTGACCGATAGCCAAACGGTGAACAGTTTGTTGTGAAAGTGATTCACAGTTCCAACCTAGGGCAATGTTTATTCTCTGCACACATGGGACAGTTTTCTGTTTCATTCACCGCTTTTGTTTTTGTTGCCTGAATCTGTTCAGCCTGGTGGCACTGGCGTAGCGGTCGGAGACGCAGCATTTTTTTTTCAACCTTTGACGTCCTTTTTTTTTGTATGTATTGCGGGTGGCTGTGGGTTGATTTATTGATTAGTTTTTAGTTGGTTTTGTTTGTTTTTGTGGGTTGTTGTTTTTATTTTGGGTGTTTTTGGTGGGTTTCTTCTCCATACGCCGGCCAAGTTCTTGTCCTATCAAAGGATATGGATTATGCATTTGTCTACTTGCGGTAAGAAGATGACCCACTCAACTTTCTAGCGTCGGTGGGTTTAAGTGGGTCGCTAGCTTAGGAAGGGGTTTATTTTCCGCCGGTTTTGCTTGTGATTCGGCTTAGCTTACATTTTGATTACCCTTAATAACTTGATTAAGTTATCATTCAATCTGTCTTGGTCAAATCTGCTATCGTCTGTCACACGACACATGTGAATCAACATTGGTCAACGGTGTGTCTGTGGGTGGGGTTGCGTTTTGTGTTGTGTTTTGATTTTAATTATTTGTTTTTCTTGGGGGTTGGTTGACACCATATCGCAGAATGTGAAAATCTGAAATGACAACCTAAGCTTTAATCACGCGCAAGCACATGTAAAATATAAAAAGTAAACGGAAAAATGCAAAAATGTAACACTGAGGAAAGAACCAACAACCTCGACCAAACCGTGCCAAACCAGAGTCCACACGCTATCCACTGACATCCGACCACACGCGAACATTGAATGTCAGCAACCTGATGAAACTTCCTTTGCTATTGAGCACTTATTGTATACGAATTTTGAGTATTTTGGCCTTAATCCTAGTGACGATCTGTTGTTATGGTCCTATACGGTTCCGGTTGGCGGGTTGGGTGATGTGAAGAAAATTGCCTTCTTTATGCGCCCGACTACACGTTACATGGGATATACTCTGACGTTTGAATGTTGAAACTGATCGGGTTTGCCGATGGTCTGAGAAATTTTTGTCTTACTGTTGTTCTTTTTTATTGGCGTTGTGGGGCTTTTTTGTGGGGTGTTCGGTTTTGGTATTTGTGGGGGGCTTTGGCATAGGAACGCCGGCCAGCAATAAAACTGAGCCTATGTGTACTCCATGCATGTGCGCGCCTTTATCAAATCTCGAAAGAACCGTTTCCAAACAGAGCTCCATGTCCTGAAAGACGCTCCTGAATCTTGGGGAAAGAGGACTACAGATCGAGTGAGCCACGTTCTATCCCTTAATAGTCCCATCTAACGTCAGCTTCGGGCAGCAATCTGCGTGTTTATTCGCTCAACGCGATATCCTACTTCTCCCATAAGCTTAATCTTAAGCACACTATGTTGAGTGAGAGAGCTCTAGGAGGAGCAAAAATTATTGTAGACAGCGGCAATTTCAAAAATGACTGATTAGTCGTAAATTAGTTGACACCAGCCGAAATAAAGACGCCTCCGTACAAGTTTACTATCCAAAGAGTTCCTGAGTCTACAGTCCTCGAACAATGGTGTTGCGGTACAAGCGAGGTCAAGAATAAATGCCATAAGCGATGTTGTCTCGTAAATCAGTGAACTTGAATCACCCTATAGGAACGTTTTCACGAAAAATAAAATTCTGAGATTATGCGCTGTTCAGGTATCATTTAGGGATGTATCAGTAGCTCAAAAGACTATACTATTTCTCATCACGTACCAGAACTGGCGAGCGCCCATTAATTCTTTTATCAGCGAAGCATTTCCCATAATTAGTGCTGCGTCACTCTCGAGTAAATGACAACCCACCACAAAAATTGGGCGCGACACTTCTAACGAAGAGGCTAGAGTTCCTATCTAATACATACGAAAGGACAGCAAGTTCTGAACAGGCTTCGAGCCCGAATCAGACGGAAGCGTCAGTTCTCTGAGTTAAAATAAATCCCTGAAGATTGCGCGCGGGTGTTCCTGGAGCTCAAGCGCCTAACTCCCAGTCTAGACGGTTCGAGAAGAATTTATTGACATTGACTTTTTCTTTTTCTAACCGCTCAGGGGTGTGAATGGATAAATAGAAGATTTTGTTTCTCTTATGTGGCTTGAAAAAGACTGCTCTAGTTGGGGGCTTAGTCGAGGCTCCTATCACGAAAGTACGCTAGTGTCTCAAGTTTTCCTCTTAGTGACCCTCGAAATAAGATGCATCTTGTCGCCTATGGCCAGTGGCGTGCACATATTCTGACCTCCCTCCTTCATTTTCCGCTCATGGCTTTTTCTTCCCTAACTGGCTTTCTAACTTTCCCGCCTGGCTTCACGTCCCGACTGTCGAGATATACGTTGTCATAATGGTATTGTAGGCAGTCCGAGAGGTGGTTGGTTGACGGCAGCACTGATGCCCTCTCCTTACTGGATGAGTCGCCTTAGTATGACATCTATCTTCAACGCCATCTCTAGAAAAATTGAGGGCTTTCTTCAATTAACTTTAAGGTCATATTCGGATCAGTAAGCCCGGAACCCTATCACAATTACAGCGAAGTGGTGAAACACCCTTGGGCCCAATTGGCGCCAAAAGGCGCTAATATGCCCAGCGCCAAAACTTAATGTCAATCGTGGATCAGATCGAAGGCCTCGACACCACCTAGGCTGCGTCAAGGGTCAGCTGAAAATTTTTGTGAATCTATCCTCGACGTCCCCCTGGGTGTATATAAACTCAGTTATTTCCGGCTGACTTGAAATTCTACGCAGAAAAGCTTCAGGGCCATGCTATATCTTCTAAAAGGTTTCTCTATTACATTAAACGGATCCACGCGGATCTCTACTATATACCGGACGTGCTTCTCTTACCTGTACCCCTAATATCGAGGAACAGTGTATGTATATGGTTCGCGTATTGATTTCCTTATTTGATATAGAGGATAGCATATTGTGAGGCTTCTTTTCATAAGCGATAATTTCTGCTTGTGCGAGATATTGTCCGATCAACGCAGATCGAGAATGCGATGATGTCGGTATATTTAATTTAACCGCTTTTTGATCCAAACTCAGTGCTATGCTTTATCGTCGTCGCAGCTGTGTTCTTCGTGCTTTGTTGGTTGTCAATTTCTTTTTTTATATTTTTCTGCAATTACCATATAACTGCTTCTTACTACATTTCCGTTCCAATTGA